ATAAATAAATAAAAATCCCCGCTCGCCCCTGTGGGCGGTTAATCCTTCAAGCTCGGGTCCTCTGCCAGAGGCCTGGGAGAGGTCTCTATTTCTTTTCTTTCTTTCTTTTTGCATTATCCTACTGCCAGGGTTTTTGCTAGTTCAAAATTGGCCTCTGGGTGGAGTACCTACAGACATATGCATGACTGATTGTACATTTAGGATGTAGTATGCATTAATATACATTTTCCTAATATTTCTGGCTATTTAATAAACAAAACAGCATTTTATACTCAAATAAATTAAACTTCAATTCAATACTTGGTTAAAAATATATGTTTTTACAACAACCCAGGTTTCCTTTTTGGAAAGTGCCAAACTTTTTTTCCCCCTTCAAATACATACGCAGGTTTAGAAAAAAGCGAGTCCCAATCATGACTGCTTCAACTTAAAGCCTCTCTCACCTGCCAGCGCCCACTCGCCAGTGCGATGCGTATGGCCACTGTAGAAGATTACGTAGGTGTCGTGGCGTGGGCCGTCTGGGGTACGGAGGTCCAGAAAGGATTTCATCTTGGACTGCAGAGCCTCCAGGGTTACCCCGCTGGTGGAATAGTCACAGCCAAACGTCTCAATCAGGTGGTGGGCAAAGAAGCGCTGCACGTTGTTCAACATACCCGTAGAGCGCCTGTTCAACTCGTGCACCTGGCCTGGAGGCAGCAGCATCGGCTGACCGTCAGGACTGTAACAGGAAGGAGAATTATGCCACTTTCAGAATTCCATTTCATTTGTGTGCACAGAATATCAATGATGTAAATCCAAACATGAATCTGAATGTGGTCTAAATTGGAGAGGTTTCTAATTCTCAGATACAACGCTGGTTCTCTACCTGCAGTAGTTGGTGGGAATGACCACTGCATAGCCCACGCATGTTCCTCCCAGGGTGTTCCCGAGCTCATGGAAGAGTCCATGGAACAGAGACTCCAGGGGCAGAATGAGCAGGAAAGTGCTCACAAACAAACTGTTTTTGGCCTGCTGAGCAAATTTACAAGAGTCACGTAAAGGAAAAAATGAAACAGGAAACAGAATAACCCGTGTGCTGCAGCAGTAAAGCATTTTTGAGACAGACCTACCTGCCAGCACAGAGCACCCACAGCTATCGTGGACACCAGAGTAAAGAACACCAGGCGTTCAGAGATGAGGCAGAAATGTCGCATGCCTTTGGAGGCCATCATCTTGTCCAGGTCGCTGACCTCCGACCAGCACAGCCTCTGGCATTCGCTGAGCTTAGAGTGAAAACCCCACACAGTGATGACAAACACCATGTGGCAAATACCCCAGAAGAGCGCACACACCACGAAGGCTGGGATCGTGCGGTACCACTGTTCCTGGTCTAAAAGTCTCCCAGCAGAAAGGACGATGAAGCTCACCTCCACCGCCAGCAGGGGCAGGAGGGAGACCCGGCGCCACAGCCCCCTCCACACCAGAAACGGTTGCCAGCGCTCGGTCACAGAGAGGCCGCTGAAGTAGACATCGAGCAGAGGGTCGCAGATGAGCTGGCTGAAGAAGCAGGAGAGGGCGAACGGGTTGGTGGTAATGTTCAGAGACTTAAAGAACAGCACGGCAGTGATGACAGCGAAGCAGGCCAGGTTGGCGAGCGCCAGGAGCGCCTTCATCCGCAGCGCAACCATGACCGTGCCCAGAGCGACCACGAGCACCACCACGCTCAGGGACTTCTGAATGAGCAGCGCGGTGCTGGCGATCGCAAAGCCAGCTAGCTCCAGGCGCTCCGCGGAGGTCAAGAAGGCAGGGCGATACCTAGCACATCCAACCAGTCTCTCCAGCAGTGCCCACAGTGTCCTCAGAGCCACGCTGGCCAGCAGCAGGTAGTTGGTAACCTGCTCCCTGACGTCGACGTCCAGGGCGGGGGAGTTGAGGAAACACAGAAGACCCAGCAAAAAACCGAACCACAGGTGGAGGATGCTGAGGCTCATCCTCTCCATACTGAAGTAGTAGAGGCCAATGGCTATTCCAAGGACAACCAGGGCCAAAACAAAAATGACAAGAAGAGCGGACTCCGCGCTTGTTTCCCACCGGACATAGAGACCTATGCACAGGGCCACGAGCAGGTTAAGCCCGGACAAGTAGCCTAGCCACCGGACTGATGACCACATGCTCATCTCTCCGTTGACTTCCTCCAGCCGGGTCATCGCTGCGTGAAGGCAGTGACTGACACAGTAACGTAGAAAACGACACATTTTCCTTTTAAATTAAATACCAACGACCTGAAACTAAAAAATGGCATTTAAGTCAGATATTACCCGGTCTACTGTCCGCTGTGACATCTGAAATCCCGCGACATTCAAACTCGGTTTAGCCAGCGGGCTAACTTGTTGAAAGTAGCTAGCTTAGCTGGCGTTAGCTCCTCAGCGGCACATCTTCAGGACGGTTAGTGTCAGCGGTCAAAACACTCACATCTTGGATGTCACTTGTTTGTATTCTTCCATCTGACGTTTGGCACGATTATAAACGATCGCAGTTGGGTTATTCTGACGCCAGCCAGCGGGACTGTGAAAGACATCAGTTCAAAAAGTTTCACATCAAAACTTTTCAGTCAGATGACAGTCGCCATGATTGTGCTAAGACTACGGTAAGCATAAAGGGTCAGAACTGGTGTTGAAAAGTTCAAACGTCCAAACCGTATTGTTGATGCAGTTTTTTTCTCTTATTTATTTATTTATTTAATGAGTTCGCTCAGTTAAACTAAGATAAGACCCCCCCCCCCCGCCGCCGCCAAAGCAAAACAAAGACAAAAACAGTAGAGTAAACTTTCTCCGTGCTGGCAGGAACTAACAAATGACACATTCAAGGAAGATCCGATTATTTGACCCCTGCATTTAGAAAATCCAGTTTGTTGCCGTTTTTCCCCAGACATGGTTTAGGCCTACATTTTCCCTTGTAGATATTTACAATTTAATTAACTATTTTTTTTAGTAATCGCCTTTTTCCTGTGGACATGGAAGCGGTCTCTTCCATGATTTTACTTCTATCCTCAGGGCACGAGGGGTCGCTAAATGGTTTGACGAGCATGAAAATTATGTGAGTTGCATAGCTTCCCAAAATTTTAACCCTAGTTGAACGCTTATGGAAGACTTTGGACCAACGTCCCAGTCAGTGCACTCTGCTACTATTATTAAAACACCAGATGAACAATTGCATTTCTGCTTCTCTCCACTACAACTTTAGAGACTTTGGATGAGCATTGTTTAAAGCACACTTAAGTTGTTCTGATTTCTGTGTGGGCTCAATGTGAGACCCTACCAGCCACTCTTTTGACCGCATATATGTGTTTAGATAACCCTTTAGAGATTAGAGGTCTCCCATCACTTTACAGGGGGTGTCAAACATACGGTGCGAGGGTCAGAACCAGCCTGGCAAAGACAATAACTGGATGGCTTTGAAGGAGTTCATCTTTGTGTGGTGCATGTAATAGTTAAATAATGAGATTACCAAAAATTCCATCACATCACCAATTTCTTCACCATCTACTGAAGAAATTTTTGTTTTTCTAAAGTGGGTCTGAAAAAAAAATCTGAATTAACAAAACGAGACTTTATAAAGTTGTTACATTTTATAAACCTGATAATTTTAGATTTTATAAATCTGGGCAATAAGCTACAAGAACCTTTTGTTATTTTACACATTCTATCATGAAATTGCAGTTTTTCCTTATATTATCATAATCTCAGGGATTAAAAGTTTAGTTAAATGTGTCTGCTCTGACAGAAAGGGGAGTTTCACTGCTCTGGCCTACTCGACGGTCTAGCCCCATCAAAGTGGGCTGTACGGGGCCCACAATGTAAAATAAATATGACATCCCTTCCTTACAAAAATACTAACACTCCTTTTTTAATATTATTAATTAAAAACTCTGCGGCCATGGGGTTTGAATGTTTAAAAAAAAACAAAAAAACAACAACAACTATTTCCGCATAGTACTATCAGAGGAAGATGAAGAACTTCTGACCAAGTTGTAAAAGAGAGCTGTGGACATTCTAAGTTGTAAACAACTGATTTTTTTTTTTTTTTAAATATAAAAATCTTAGCACAAAAGAAGGAACACACACCGCCACCTTATATTTACATTCATTTATAAAAGAGAAATACAATGGTACTGTAAGGACACATTGTTCTGCACTGTTGAAATAATGAAGATGATCCATATCATGCAAATAGGCCAAAAGAAACACTGGAAGACAAAAATCACAAAACACGCTCCTTTAAAGTCTGAATATGTACTGTGAATTTTTTTTCTCCTGTTAAAAATCAGGAAGAAAACACAAAACAGCAGAGATATGCATTAACCAGAAAATGATATGGAAATGGCAAAAGCACACTGCATTACATAAACACATATCCACTAATATGATGGACAAAACAAAAACACAGAAGGCACCTTATAGTTATTATTGGTATCGTTTTGTGGGCCTATCACATTGGTTGTAAAATTGTGAAAAGAAACAACATTTTGTGACACCCTTTGGGATCAATGATAAAGTGCCACTGACAAAAACAAAAAACCAACCAAAAAAAAAATTCCACACACTAGAAATTCACTTCTTCAGTCACACAGTCTAAGCCACACCCACACATTTAGTCTATTCAGGAACCAGCAGGAACACACAATAACATTTCACCTGGTAGTGTCTTAGCTAAAACCTCCCTGCAGCATACAGCATTTTCAGATCCGACCTCGCTTTCTAAATTTTACAATATTTCACCTTTTTTACAAAAAGTGAGTGTAAATTTCTCTCTGTGATTTTTCTAAGGAACTCTGCATCTGCTTTTGTGGAGTGCTGTATTTTCACATCAAAGTTGTAAAACTGTGTCAAAGGAAACTGGTGTAAAGTCACTGACATGCAGTGTTGTACCAATCTGCTGCTTAAGACAAAAAAAAAAGATTAAATGCAACAGCAGGAAAAAGATCATTCAGAATGAAGTCAGTCTTTAAGAGAAGAGCAAGACAAAAACCTTGTACCTACTATGCACTTGTACCTTTTTAAACACAATAAGTAAACACTTAACGTTTCACATTAGTAAACCTACTAATACTACTGTATGGTTCTGAAAATGTTTCAAATGCTACAAATACCATTTTTTTGTTGTTTTTTTTGGTAAAAGTTACACAAAATCATTCATAGAATGCCAAGTTACCAAGGCATTGCCACAATTTACAACACCAATGTTTGACTGTTTGACTATGGATATCTATTTCCAAAAATTTTTTTATGTCTTGGAAAACTAAAATGAACATCAAAAAAAAAAAAAAGTTTTCAGGAAGTTGAGCTGTATGTGCCAGAAGCAAACACGCCCGTCTACTTATTCCATCTCTGTCTCACCAGTGCAATCAAACCCCCGTCGCGCTGCTTAGGTTTGCTGTATTTGGCTTTTTTGTACAGAGCAGCCTGCGACTCTAGCTTATTTCAAACAGAGACCGAGTACAGAATGTAGACAAGCTGACTTTTGATATTAAGAGGAGCGGGGAGTTCAGAGATCTTGCGGGTATTCGATTTCCAACTCTTAAAAAACCTAACTATTTATCAAAATATATCCATCTTTTGTGTGTGTGTGTGTGTGTGTGTGTGTGTGTGTGTGTGCACACTCTGAAAGAAGTGTGGATATGAGAAAATAATCTGTAAACTTTTCTCTTTCACACTGTGCAAACTGCATTGTTTTGAGAAGGAGTAGAAGTGGGGTAAGAATGCAGCTGGTTAAATTTGGCAGCGCAGCAGTTGGAGGGGAGACGACAATTAAGCCCTTTTCAGACACACTCTCCATTTACGGTAACCTGGCAGCATCGAAACGTGTCGGCTTCACATCTCAATCAGCATCCTGGTCGCTCTTCGGCAATGCCAATCTTACTAGGTCAAGCCTTGAAACATTAGCGCGGGCACGGCACAAGTCTGCATGTGTCCCGTGCTTCATTGTGAGCTGCTCAGCTGACCAGAGGATGCATTAAACTTTCAAAAGCGTGGTTACACTTCTAAAAGCTGACACGGATAATACTGTGTGTCAAACCTCATGCTTGTACTGTAGCCTTCTCTCTCACTGTCAGGGGTATATTTGATTTAAAGCATTAGGAATATTAACTAAATATAATTCCATCGCTTTTACAGACTTTTGAAGCCAGCGATGTTATGCTTTCCATGTCTGAAAGGGGCTTTAGGTGGAGAAAAGGGCGGGAGGGTTGCTGGTTTAGCCTAGCTCTGGAGCAAGATGGGATCCTCTAACTCATGAAAGCCGGGGACGGAGCTGCTCTGGCTCTCCCCAGAATCGGAATCATAGGGTGTGTCTGGTAGTTCCGTGAAGCCCCAAGCTAGCTGGTCATCCTCAAACTCGGAACGCGCCTGTATTGTGATGTCTTCACAATCTTCCTCCTCATTGGAATTGAAGTCCTGAGGGATGTAAAGCATCTCAGGGTAGTTGTGTGACACCAGGTCACTGGTGGTGGCCAGAGACACCTTTCGGAAGGCGATGAGATGCATGTGAGAATACTTGACATATTTGTAGCGCTTGAAGCCCAGCGACTCTACCGCGACACGCCAGCTGCGCATCATGAGGGCGTGGCGGTTTTGGTGAGAAGAGTCAGGCGTGATGATGAGCAACAGGCCATGCAGCTCCAGCAGCTCATGGGCCTTCTTGCAGCAGATCCAGCGCTGGTATGGCGAGGGGAAGTAGGACAAAAGCAGGGAGAAGACCACCACGTGGAAAAGCTGAGCGGGCAGAGCATCGATGGGGTTATGGAGCTGGCGGAGGAAAGCCTCGACTGCATCACCCGCCAGCTGGAGCGGCTGCTGAAGCTGGAGGTTGAGGAAGTCACACTTGTACACACTCTGAAAAAGCACAAATTTAACACGAATCAGGGTTCAAACTTGATCTATGCCAGCAAACATTTCTACACAGCTCGTTTGTTTTCATGACTTGCAGCTGTTGGGCGTCACTTTTCTGTGTTCTGCTGATTTTCTTCACATAGTCTAACCACAGCACTGGCAAAGGACATGACTCATTTCTGGTGTTGTTTTTGCTTTATAACGCAAACACCCAAGTGGGAAACTGTATCCATTTCATGTGAATAAACAAATGGTATAAAAGCACATAGTCAATTAAAATGTAAAACAGAATTAATATGCACTCGTACCTCAACCGCAGGCACTATGTCAATACCGACTGTGAGGAACTCGTCAAACTTCAAGAAAGGGTTAAAGCAGCTTCCCACATCAAGAAGGCGCATTTTCCCCAGCTGAGAAATCGAACTGTAGCACAAACAACAACACGCAATGCCTGATGAGTATAATACACAAAATCATATGCATTACACACACTATAGATAACTCTTTGTAATTGCACAGTCATACATAGTACAATAGTACAATGAAATGGTAAAACTGTCCCACATCGGCACTACGTACAACACGACACAACACGACACAACACGACACAACACGACACAACACGGTAACTTAAGTAATAAAAAGAAGAATCAGTGTATGTTTATTGCACATTATTATTACTATAGAGTGAGGGCAGGTCGTAGCAATTCATTTTTCTTGTTTTTTGGACAAAGACTTTATGATATATATGATATATATGATATAGAGTGTTATCTGTCATACTCATGACAGATAACACTCTTACTTCATCTTACCTGGGGATGGTGCTGTACGGCTG